AAGCCTCAAAACATAACTAATGAACAGAGGAAATGTTAGTTTAGTGCCAGGAATGCCTACATTGTTCATTCTGGACCCTATTTTGAAATTGGAATATTTTAAACTTTGTGTTAAATTGGCCAAATTAACAATTTCCGATCACTTTATTTTGTAGTTGAAACAGTTGACTTGGCGATTTCTTGTGCTCAATCGATAGAATAGAAGTAATACTAGTGAAATACCTAAGAATTTGGTTGATTGGAATAATGTAATTGGCCTAAAATGGGAATCAAAGTCGGCAAAATCGCCGATTCGTAAATATCGCTGACACATCAAAATTCGCGAGAGCATAATTTCGTCAATTTTCCACCAAATTTCGTACTTTTTGTTTTATTACCTTCACAAAAAGATTCTCTACGACTTCATAAGAAAAAATAACAATTTTTTTTTTTTAAAATTCTTGGACACTGGTGCGTGACTCCAGATTTGGGCCTTGGACCCTGAAAGGGTTAACAACCATGGAGACATTACACATCCCTGTCTAAGACCTACTTTTACCGGGAAGTAGTCTCCCTCTCTTCTACACACCCTAACCTGAGCCTCACTATCCTCATAAAAACTCTTTACAGCATTTAGTAACTTACCCCCTATTCCATATACTTGCAACATCTGCCACATTGCTTCCCTGTCCACTCTATCATATGCCTTTTCTAAATCCATAAATGCAATAAAAACTTCTCTACTTTTATCTAAATACTGCTCACATATATGCTTCAATGTAAACACTTGATCTACACATCCCCTACCCACTCTAAAACCTCCTTGCTCATCCGCAATTCTACATTATATCTTACCTCTAATTCTTTCAATAATAACCCTACCATACACTTTTCCTGGTATACTCAGTAAACTTATTCCTCTATAATTATTACAATCTCTTTTGTCCCCCTTCCCTTTATATAAAGGGACTATACATGCTCTCCGCCAATCCTTTGGTACCTTCCCCTCTTTCATACATTTATTAAACAAAAATACCAACCACTCCAACACAATATCCCCCCCTGCTTTTAACATTTCTGTCATGATGCCATCAGTTCCTGCTGCTTTACCCCCTTTCATTCTTTGTAATGCCTCACGCACCTCCCCCACACTCACATCCTGCTCTTCTTCACTCGTAAAAGATGTTATACCTCCCTGGCTAGTGAATGAAATTACCGCCTCTCTTCATTGACATTTAAAAGTTCCTCAAAATATTCTCGCCATCTACCCAACACCTCCATCTCCCCATCTACTAACTCCCCTACTCTGTTTTTAACTGACAAATCCATACTTTCCCTAGGCTTTCTTAACTTGTTTAACTCACTCCAAAATTTTTTCTTGTTTTCATTAAAATTTCTTGACAGTGCCTCTCCCGCTCTATCATCCGCTCTCGTTTTGCACTCTCTCACCACTCTCTTCACCTTTCTTTCACTCTCCATAGGGGATAAAAGAGAGTGCAAAAATTATAGGGGGATAAGTCTGCTGAGTATACCTGGTAAAGTGTATGGTAGAGTTATTATTGAAAGAATTAAAAGTAAGACTAAGAATAGGATAGCAGATGAACAAGGAGGCCTTAGGAAAGGTAGGGGGTGTGTGGACCAGGTGTTTACAGTGAAACATATAAGTGAACAGTATTTAGATAAGGCTAAAGAGGTCTTTGTGGCATTTATGGATTTGGAAAAGGCGTATGACAGGGTGGATAGGGGGGCAATGTGGCAGATGTTGCAAGTGTATGGTGTAGGAGGTAGGTTACTGAAAGCAGTGAAGAGTTTTTACGAGGATAGTGAGGCTCAAGTTAGAGTATGTAGGAAAGAGGGAAATTATTTCCCAGTAAAAGTAGGCCTTAGACAAGGATGTGTGATGTCACCGTGGTTGTTTAATATATTTATAGATGGGGTTGTAAGAGAAGTAAATGTGAGGGTCTTGGCAAGAGGCGTGGAGTTAAAAGATAAAGAATCACACACAAAGTGGGAGTTGTCACAGCTGCTCTTTGCTGATGACACTGTGCTCTTGGGAGATTCTGAAGAGAAGTTGCAGAGATTGGTGGATGAATTTGGTAGGGTGTGCAAAAGAAGAAAATTAAAGGTGAATACAGGAAAGAGTAAGGTTATGAGGATAACAAAAAGATTAGGTGATGAAAGATTGAATATCAGATTGGAGGGAGAGAGTATGGAGGAGGTGAATGTATTCAGATATTTGGGAGTGGACGTGTCAGCGGATGGGTCTATGAAAGATGAGGTGAATCATAGAATTGATGAGGGGAAAAGAGTGAGTGGTGCACTTAGGAGTCTGTGGAGACAAAGAACTTTGTCCTTGGAGGCAAAGAGGGGAATGTATGAGAGTATAGTTTTACCAATGCTCTTATATGGGTGCGAAGCATGGGTGATGAATGTTGCAGCGAGAAGAAGGCTGGAGGCAGTGGAGATGTCATGTCTGAGGGCAATGTGTGGTGTGAATATAATGCAGAGAATTCGTAGTTTGGAAGTTAGGAGGAGGTGCGGGATTACCAAAACTGTTGTCCAGAGGGCTGAGGAAGGGTTGTTGAGGTGATTCGGACATGTAGAGAGAATGGAGCGAAACAGAATGACTTCAAGAGTGTATCAGTCTGTAGTGGAAGGAAGGCGGGGTAGGGGTCGGCCTAGGAAAGGTTGGAGGGAGGGGGTAAAGGAGGTTTTGTGTGCGAGGGGCTTGGACTTCCAGCAGGCATGCGTGAGCGTGTTTGATAGGAGTGAATGGAGACAAATGGTTTTTAATACTTGACGTACTGTTGGAGTGTGAGCAAAGTAACATTTATGAAGGGGTTCAGGGAAACCGGCAGGCCGGACTTGAGTCCTGGAGATGGGAAGTACAGTGCCTGCACTCTGAAGGAGGGGTGTTAATGTTGCAGTTTAAAAACTGTAGTGTAAAGCACCCTTCTGGCAAGACAGTGATGGAGTGAATGATGGTGAAAGTTTTTCTCTTTCAGGCCACCCTGCCTTGGTGGGAATCGGCCAGTGTGATAAAAAAAAAAAAATACTCTGCTCTTCTTATAACACTTCTGCTTTGTAAATACCTCTTATACGCTACCTTTTTCTCTTTTATCACACCCTTTACTTCATTCCACCAATCACTCCTCTTTCCTCCTGCACCCACATATGCATATAGTCCCACAAATCTTGCCCAAAATACATTACACAAATGCTGAAAAATTTGAAGTTGATCAGAAGAGGCATCCTTGAGTTACTGCACAAGAAACAATATGCTTACTAAAACAGGCAATTTGAAATTTACATAGATCAAAATGAGTGACAAGTTGTATTTTATTAAAGCCCACCATTTTTTTACTATTTTACTACATCAACAAATTTGCCTGCATGCAAATGCAACATAATGAGTAATATCCTGGACCTGAGATGCATCAGTCATTATATACTGAAGCCATTCAGAAGAGATAAACTGAAAATTATTTAAAATGATTTAAAAGTTAATTTTCACACTATTTTATACATAAAATGGTCAAATCTGCTCCAACACTAAGTGTCACTCTCCATCACTGAATAAGGAAGCAGCTTCTGTGAATGTTTGAAGCAACACCACTGATGCTAGATATGAATTCAACAAGAGGGCACCCAAACATGTCAAGTGTTCCAAGAGTTTTTCTCCGCTACTGTACAAGTGTTGAAAATGTGAAGCCAACTGGATGAGAAATTCTTGAGTTTTGAGCAAAATAAAATAAAATGTTGGAGGAAAAAAAAACTCTGGCAACCTCTTAAAGACCACTTCAGGGACAGACAATTAGGATACACAAAACTTCCTATTATCCATAAATTCAGGATTTACGAGATTTCAGAAACTCTTTTCTGGGGCCCCACTGTAACGGCTTCAGCAGTATCAGGTTCAATGGTACAGTGGACCCTCGAGTTTCGTGATTAATCAGTTCCAGAGAGCCTGCCGAAAGTCAAAATTCACAAAACTCGAAACGAATTTTCCCCATAAGGAATAATGGAAATAAAATTAATCCGTTCCAGACGCCCAAAAATATTAAAATAAAATATTTTTTTTCAAATTAAATAAAGATTTACATACTGAAAACAATCATAAGCCAAGTACATGCACATAAAAAATAATAATAACATTACACTTACCTTTACTGAAGACTTCCGAGTGGATGGAAGATGGGAGGAGGGGATAGGAGGAAGGTGTACACTATTGTTTGGAAGGAGAATCTCCTTCCATTAGGACTTCAGGTAGCAAGTCCTTTTCTGGAGTTACTTCCCTTCTTCTTTTAATGCCACTGGGAACAACTTGAGAGTCACTGGACCCCTGTTGCACAAAATATCTGTTCAGAGAGGTCTGTTTCTGGAATTTCTTTATGATTTAACTGAAGTGGGACAAGGTTTTGTCACTGAACATGCTGCAGATATGGCTTGTTTCAGCTTGGTCAGGGTGATACTTTTCAACAAAACTTTGCAACTCATTCCACTTTGAACACATGTCCTTAATCACTGAAGAAGGCACCTCCTTCACTCTCTTTTCCTCCTCCTCTGAAGCAAGTTCCTCAGCTGTGGTCTGATGCCATTCCAGTTGAAGCTCTTGCAGTTCGTCAGTGGTTAGCTCTTCCCTGTGGTCCTCCAACAACTCTTCCACATCCCCGTCACTCACCATGGGCTTGCCCAATGCCACAACACCTTCCACAACAGGCAGAGGGTCGGTAGGGTCAGGGTCTGCCTCAAACCCTTCAAAATCCCTCTGGATCGTGTTCTTCGCTTTCTTTACCAAAGGGTTTGCGATAGCTTTCCTTGGGCCCATGGTGACTTTTTAGCAGTTGCAATCACAAAAACAATGGATTATTACGTATGAACCTGCAGGGTGATGGTCACGTGTTGGTAAACAATGGCACACTGAGTGTGAATGGCGTGGGACACTGGCTTTGTGTGCGTGGTGATGGGCAGACGGGTACCGGACGGTCGCCGAATCATGAGTCTAATCACAAAACTCGAGGCCAAATTTTGCCGAAAAAACTTGCTGAAAGTCGAATTTCATGAAAGTCAATGCTGCCGAAACTCGGGGGTCCACTGTACTAGGTTCAGTAGTACTGGGTTCAGTGGTACCCAGGTTCAACTGGCAGAGGAAAAGAAAAAGATTATGACCCAGACTCACCTTGTGGTCATCAGTAATAAAGCCAACAATATCTAGAGGGCACTTCTCCCTGGCTGCCAGCATTTTGAGGGAGGTCAGGTGATGGAAGTCAGTCAAGAGAGCATTGGACTCCTGGTACTCTGCTCCCCACACTTCTAGTGTTGACAGTGTTGGGTCTCCCACACTGAACGACTCCGTAAAGATCACTCCACCAGCACCCTCCATCAACTCCTTCAACACATTAGCTGTATACACATAATTATTATTATTATCTTAAAAAGAGGTAAATACACAAGGTTCACATAATTGTAGTTAACTACGTAAGAAATCCTCGTTAACAGTCAATATATAAATCCCATTAACATTTAAACATTAGGATTAGTTTGTCTGAAATACATTGCATATTATTGGCTTTCTTTTGTGTCCAACAATGTTTTATTAAATGTAACGTACATTATTTTGCAATGCATAAAGAAATAAAAGTTGTATCAAACAGAGCAGCTGAAGAATGAGAGGGAAAGAGACTGCCACTTCCTTGAATTAAAACACTTCCATCATGGCACCAGTCACCTGCCTTCAGCACTATGTTACATCATGGCACAAGTCAACCTGCCTTCAACACTATGCTACATCATGGCACCAGTCAACCTGCCTTCAACACTATGTTACATCATGGCACCAGTCACCTGCCTTCAACACTATGTTACATCATGGCACCAGTCACCTGCCTTCAACACTATGTTACATCATGGCACCAGTCACCTGCCTTCAACACTATGTTACATCATGGCACCAGTCACCTGCCTTCAACACTATGTTACATCATGGCACCAGTCACCTGCCTTCAACACTATGTTACATCATGGCACCAGTCAACCTGCCTTCAACACTATGTTACATCATGGCACCAGTCACCTGCCTTCAACACTATGTTACATCATGGCACCAGTCAACCTGCCTTCAACACTATGTTACATCATGGCACCAGTCACCTGCCTTCAACACTATGTTACATCATGGCACCAGTCACCTGCCTTCAACACTATGTTACATCATGGCACCAGTCACCTGCCTTCAACACTATGTTACATCATGGCACCAGTCAACCTGCCTTCAACACTATGTTACATCATGGCACCAGTCACCTGCCTTCAACACTATGTTACAACTGACAACATGAACAACTTTGCACACTGTCACACCTGGGGTCTGGAAAGTTGCTGAGCTTAGCCTCAGTAATTTGGGAGATTTATGGAGGCCATGCCAACTGTTTCTAGTTAGGTAGGTTATTGTGACACTCTTGTCTGATGCTGTACTACTGACAGTTGCTTTGTGTTCATTGTTGTTCAGTGAACTGGTTGCTTCATTCTTCAAGCATGATGTGTTCATCACCTCTGATGTCAAAAGTTAGTTTATTTAGGGACTTGTTTGTTCTGTTAGTCACATTCTATGTGGAGTCTGCTGCACACTGTTCACAAATATAATTACTTTTTCTAGAACTATAAAATACTCTCATAAATACAGCAACATGTAAATTAGCACAGATTATTACTACTAGTACTGTAACTTACTTTCATATTTAAAGTTCTACCTTATCAACAGGCACGAGTATGTCTATCAAGGGCACAATCTCATCAACAAGACCTATCAACATAGGGGTCTCACAGGGTAGTGTCCTTGGCCCTCTGCTTTTCCTCTTATACACCTTCCAAAGTATCTGGGCAACTTAAACCTGTTATCTCTGTTGATGACAACTTTTGTCATCTCCCACCCTAATCTAACTTCCCTCAACAACACTGTTAATGAAGAACTCTTAAATATATCAACCTGAATAACTACCAATAAACTCTCCCTTTACAAAATTTTTTTGTAAAGTTAGGGGTCTGGACCCTGAAGGTTCCAGACCCCCTAACTTGTCTACAGAGTCCAAGAATTTTCACAAAATATTTCTATTTTTTCTTCTTGTGAAATGGTAGAGAATCTTTTTCTGAAGGTAATAAAACAAAAAGTACAAAATTTGATGGAAAATTGATGAAATTACGCTATTGCGAATTTTGCTGCATTGGCAATTTTGCCTGCTTTGACTCCCATTTTAGGCCAATTACATTATTCCAGTCGACCAAATTCTTAGTTATTTTGCCATCATTACTTCTATTGTATCAAATGAGCAAAAGAAACTGCCCAATCAACTATTTCAACTAGCCAATAAAGTGATCAGAAATTGGTAATTTGACCAATTTCACACAAAGTTCAAAATATTCCAATTTCAAAATAGGGTCGAGAATAAACAACGCAGGCATTCCTGGCACTAAAATAACATTTCCTCTGTTTATCAGTTATGTTTACAGGCTTTACAGATGAATTCCATTTTTATTTTTTATTCATATAACGAATTTTTATTTACACCAAAAAATAGAAGATTTACTGTTATACAATATTGTAATATTTGTATAAATAATATCAGTGCATTTGTGAATGTATATTTGATCCACCAGTTGATGTGTATCAGACACATGACATCATTTGTTTACTCTAGAACATTGGCAAAAATAGAACATTTCCGCTACTCTGAGCTCAATTTCAACCTATTTTCAGTAATAAAAGCAACCAAAATCATCATTATATCTGTAACATATCTTCCATTCTATCAAATGAGACCAAGAAACTGTGAATACAACCATAAAAATCATGAAAATACGTACACCGCAAATTTGCTGTTTTAATAAAAAAACACAGTCGCAGTTTTTTCTCATTATGCACTACATGCCACAGTACTTGTTTTATGTGGTGCACACTTACCACATAGATGCATTCTCTCATACTAGGCCCAAATTTACCGCTCACAGCATATCTGAGTGAGGTGAGCTCAGGGGGATTACCAACAGACCCCTGGCAGTCTTCAAGCTGGCACTGGACAAGCACCTAAAGTCAGTTCCGGATCAGCCGGGCTGTGGCTCGTACGTTGGTTTGCGTGCAGCCAGCAGCAACAGCCTGGTTGATCAGGCTCTGATCCACCAGGAGGCCTGGTCACAGACCGGGCCGCGGGGGCGTTGACCCCCGGAACTCTCTCCAGGTAAACTCCAGTACTATGGCTTGGACTCCGGCTTCAAAGCCAGATAAGCCTGATAAGACTTTCTACATGATGTTTGGAAACAGAACAACAATGTCCAACTAAACATTATGATTAATAGTTTTCTCATTGCTAAACAAAATGAAGGAAACTTTGTAGTCCTGTTCCTTGACTGCAACCTAAAAATCAATATCCACATTCAACACATTACAAAAAAGTATCCAAAACAGTTGGCATCCTTTCTATGTTACTATATACCTCAAATGGAACTACTTACATTATACCACTCTCTAATGTATCCCTACCTCACCTATATTATTTGTGCCTGGGGATCCACTACAATAAATCACCTTAAGCCAATAATAACACAACAAAAAGATGGCAGTATGAATGATGACTCAAGTCTACTGCCAGATAACACACTCCCCCACGCTTCAGACCTAAACCTACTTCATATACATAACATTCACTCATACAACTGTGCATACTACTTACCAGGACAATAAATTCTAATATCAATCATGAACAAAAAAAAATATCAATTATGACCTGAAGCACTTTCTTGATAGTTGCCACACAGCTCAATAACAACACTACACACAAAAATCTCTGATATTCCCAGTATCCAGCTTAATCTTTCTAAAAGCTCAATGTGCACAAAAGGAGCCAAAATGTAGAACTCTCAACACAATATCTCCACAGCCTCTCTATCTGCCAGCTGCTTCAAAACTACTGTTAAACTCCTCTTCACCTTCATGTGATCCTAGTGAGAATTAACAATGATGAATATTATGAACATGCGTAAATTATGGATGGCGACCTAGTTGTAATGGGATTACCAGCACCCTGGTCATGTATCACCAGCACCCTGGTCATGTAATCACCAGCACCCTGGTCATGTATCACCAGCACCCTGGTCATGTATCACCAGCACCCTGGTCATGTATCACCAGCACCCTGGTTATGTATCACCAGCACCCTGGTATGATACCAGCACCCTGGTCATGTATCACCAGCACCCTGGTCATGTATCACCAGCACCCTGGTCATGTATCACCAGCACCCTGGTCATGTATCACCAGCACCCTGGTCATGTATCACCAGCACCCTGGTCATGTATCACCAGCACCCTGGTCATGTATCACCAGCACCTGGTCATGTACCAGCACCCTGGTCATGTATCACCAGCACCCTAGTCATGTATCACCAGCACCCTGGTCATGTATCACCAGCACCCTGGTCATGTATCACCAGCACCCTGGTTATGTATCACCAGCACCCTGGTTATGTATCACCAGCACCCTGGTCATGTATCACCAGTACCCTGGTCATGTATCACCAGCACCCTGGTCATGTATCACCAGCACCCTGGTCATGTATCACCAGCACCCTAGTCATGTATCACCAGCACCCTGGTCATGTATCACCAGCACCCTGGTCATGTATCACCAGCACCTTAGTCATGTATCACCAGCACCCTGGTCATGTATCACCAGCACCCTGGTCATGTATCACCAGCACCCTGGTCATGTATCACCAGCACCCTGGTCATGTATCACCAGCACCCTGGTCATGTATCACCAGCACCTTAGTCATGTATCACCAGCACCCTGGTCATGTATCACCAGCACCCTGGTCATGTATCACCAGCACCCTGGTCATGTATCACCAGCACCCTGGTCATGTATCACCAGCACCCTGGTCATGTATCACCAGCACCCTAGTCATGTATCACCAGCACCTTAGTCATGTATCACCAGCACCCTGGTCATGTATCACCAGCACCTGGTCATGTATCACCAGCACCCTGGTCATGTATCACCAGCACCCTGGTCATGTATCACCAGCACCCTGGTCATGTATCACCAGCACCCTAGTCATGTATCACCAGCACCTTAGCCATGTATCACCAGCACCCTGGTCATGTATCACCAGCACCCTGGTCATGTATCACCAGCACCCTGGTCATGTATCACCAGCACCCTAGTCATGTATCACCAGCAACCTAGTCATGTATCACCAGCACCCTAGTCATGTATCACCAGCACCCTAGTCATGTATCACCAGCACCCTGGTCATGTATCACCAGCACCCTGGTCATGTATCACCAGCACCCTGGTCATGTATCACTAGCACCCTGGTCATGTATCACCAGCACCCTAGTCATGTATCACCAGCACCCTGGTCATGTATCACCAGCACCCTGGTCATGTATCACCAGCACCCTAGTCATGTATCACCAGCACCCTGGTCATGTATCACCAGCACCCTGGTCATGTATCACTAGCACCCTAGTCATGTATCACCAGCACCCTGGTCATGTATCACCAGCACCCTGGTCATGTATCACTAGCACCCTAGTCATGTATCACCAGCACCCTGGTCATGTATCACCAGCACCCTAGTCATGTATCACCAGCACCCTAGTCATGTATCACCAGCACCCTGGTCATGTATCACCAGCACCCTAGTCATGTATCACCAGCACCCTAGTCATGAATCACCAGCACCCTGGTCATGTATCACCAGCACCCTAGTCATGTATCACCAGCACCCTAGTCATGTATCACCAGCACCCTAGTCATGTATCACCAGCACCCTAGTCATGTCACAGCACCCTATCATGTTCCAGCACCCTAGTCATGTATCACCAGCACCCTGGTCATGTATCACCAGCACCCTGGTCATGTATCACCAGCACCCTAGTCATGTATCACCAGCACCCTAGTCATGTATCACCAGCACCCTAGTCATGTATCACCAGCACCCTAGTCATGTATCACCAGCACCCTAGTCATGTATCACCAGCACCCTAGTCATGTATCACCAGCACCCTAGTCATGTATCACCAGCACCCTAGTCAAGTATCACCAGCACCCTGGTCATGTATCACCAGCACCCTGGTCATGTATCACCAGCACCCTAGTCATGTATCACCAGCACCCTAGTCATGTATCACCAGCACCCTGGTCATGTATCACCAGCACCCTGGTCATGTATCACCAGCACCCTGGTCATATATCACCAGCACCCTGGTCATGTATCACCAGCACCCTAGTCATGCATCACCAGCACCCTGGTCATGTATCACCAGCACCCTGGTCATGTATCACCAGCACCCTAGTCATGTATCACCAGCACCCTAGTCATGTATCACCAGCACCCTGGTCATGTATCACCAGCACCCTAGTCATGTATCACCAGCACCCTAGTCATGTATCACCAGCACCCTGGTCATGTATCACCAGCACCCTGGTCATGTATCACCAGCACCCTAGTCATGTATCACCAGCACCCTGGTCATGTATCACCAGCACCCTGGTCATGTATCACCAGCACCCTAGTCATGTATCACCAGAAACCCTAGTCATGTATCACCAGCACCCTGGTCATGTATCACCAGCACCCTAGTCATGTATCACCAGCACCCTAGTCATGTATCACCAGCACCCTAGTCATGTATCACCAGCACCCTGGTCATGTATCACCAGCACCCTAGTCATGTATCACCAGCACCCTAGTCATGTATCACCAGCACCCTAGTCATGTATCACCAGCACCCTAGTCATGTATCACCAGCACCCTAGTCATGTATCACCAGCACCCTGGTCATGTATCACCAGCACCCTAGTCATGTATCACCAGCACCCTGGTCATGTATCACTAGCACCCTGGTCATATATCACCAGCACCCTGGTCATGTATCACTAGCACCCCAGTCATGTATCACAAGCACCCTGGTCATGTATCACCGGCACCCTAGTCATGTATCACCAGCACCCTGGTCATGTATCACCAGCACCCTGGTCATGTATCACCAGCACCCTGGTCATGTATCACCAGCACCCCAGTCACATAGCAGCCTGGTCATTTATCACCAGCACCCTGGTCATGTATCACCAGTACCCTAGTCAGGTATCATGAGCATCCTGGTCATGTATCACCAGTACCCAAGTCAGGTATCACCAGCACCCTGGTCATGTATCACCAATACCCCAGTCATGTATCACCAGCACCCTGGTCATGTATCACCAGCAACCTGGTCATGTATCACCAGCACCCTGGTCATGTATCACCAGCACCCTGGTCATGTATCACCAGGACCCTGGTCATGTATCACCAGCACCCTGGTCATGTATCACCAGTACCCTAGTCACGTATGACTAGCATCCTGGTCATGTATCATCAGCACCCTGGTCATATATCACCAGCACCCTAATTATGTATCACCAGCACCCTAATTATGTATCACCAGCACCCTGGTCATGTATCACCAACACTGCAGTCATGCATCACCAGTACCCTGGTCATATATCACCAACACCCTGGTCATGTATCACCAGCATCCTGGTCATGTATCACCAGCACCCTGGTCATGTATCACCAGCACCCTGGTCATGTATTACTTATCATTACCACCAGCACCCTGGTCATGTATCACCAACATCCCAGTCATGTATCACCAGCACCCTGGCCATGTATCATCAGCACCCTGGTCATGTATCACCAGCACCCTAGTTATGCTTCATCAGCACCCTGGTCATTTATCATCAACACCCAGGTCATGTATCACCAGCACCCTGGTCATGTATCACTAGCATCCTGGTCATGTATCACCAGCTCCCTGGTTATATATCACCAGCACCCTAATTATGTATCACCAACACCCTGGTCATGTATCACCAGCTCCCTGGTTATATATCACCAGCACCCTAATTATGTATCACCAACACCCTGGTCATGTATCATCAACACTGCAGTCATGCATCCCCAGTACCCTGGTCATATATCACCAACACCCTGGTCATGTATCACCAGAATCCTGGTCATGTATCACCAGCACCCTGGTCATGTATCATTTATCATTACCACCAGCAACCTGGCCATGTATCACTTACCATTACCACCAGCAACCTGGCCATGTATCACTTACCATTACCACCAGCACCTTGGTCATGTATCGCCAGGATAGGGTTGTTGCGCATCTCCAGACAGCCACGTATAACTCTATTCATCTTTTGTTCCATCTCAGCGTCTCCACGCTGCACTGCGCCCAGGTCCCGCATTGCCTCATTGTCACCTTGAACCTTAAAACAACACCTTTACTAGTAATTTATAAGTCTATTATACTAAACAACTTAACATAAATCAATCTTAACCTCTAAACTGTCAACACCCTAAATTCAAAGCCCCATCTTCACTGGCATTTTTGGAAACAAATTTCTTCTAAAATGCAAAAAATGGAATTATGCAGGCAGAAAATTAATGTTAGTGAGCACTTTTATCAAATGTGCCGTCTCCCACTCTGAGGGTGAAGCTGGCTCGGTTCCTGGCTATTTTACTAGTATTTTACTAGTATGTCTTGAGTACTACCCATTAATCATATGAAACTGCCCATTCAACTATCAGAGTCCTATAAAGTGCTCAGAGGTTGGTAATTTGGCTAATTTTGCACTATTTTGAACAATTATAATTTGAAAACAGACTCCAAAACAAAAGGTGTAAACATTGCATCAAGTAAAGTAACCCTTCCCATCTTCAAATCATGTGCCCCAGCCTCTCCTGTATAACACCTATCCTCCATTTTGAATCGATTGCTACACAGATAAAAGAATTCCTGGCCAAAAAACAATAACCAAGAATATTTTATCATGGTTTAGTCCATCCCAGTAACTGACACACAGAGGGGGTTCCTACCCTTACCCAGGAAAATCACCCAAAATCTCCATTTCATTAGCATTTCTCTGCTTGTTACCAAGAAAGAGCCAATAAAGCTGGGAAAACCACCCTTAAAAATGTTCCAGATTCGCAATTTAACCCAAACACGAGTCCCACCATGCACTGTGTGGTGTATGTTTTGTTTTATACTTCACACACACAGTCTGACATGCCTAGGTCAAAATTTGCCACTCAGCAAATCTGACACCAACACTGATACCACTGACATAGCTGTCACCAACACTGATACCACTGACATAGCTGTCACCAACACTGATACCACTGACATAGCTGTCACCAACAGTTAACAGACTAAAAAAAAAAAATCTGCTAAAATTATTTTCATCTGAACACACCAGCCAACTCCAAGGTAATGTGACCTAAAGAGGAAACACATTCATCATCACTTGCTAAACCCCAGTCTTCGTGGAGGCGCATAAATATCACAATTCACATGACCCTGGAAACATCCTCACTCGTCCTTCAAAGTGTTGGCCACCTCCAGCACAGTAACATCCTCAATCATCCTTCAGAGTGTTGCCCACCTCCAGCATAGTAACATCCTCAAACATCCTTCAGAGTAAGGCGCTGTACTTCCCACCTCCAGCACTGTAACATCCTCCCCTGCCACTTATCTATTCTATGATACACTTTGCCTTTTACACAAGTGTCGCCACATTTATTCCCATGTATCTTTATCCATTCTCTTCTTCCAGCTGCCTTTCCTGTAATTTATATCAAATACATGTAATTCATTTTCTAAGAATTTGCTACTATAATCATATTGCTCTTGACTTTGTTCAATCTTAATTTCATAAGAACATAAGAAAGAAGGAACACTACAACAGGCCTACTGACCCATGCGGAGCAGGTCCATGTCATCCCCCCAGATTAGCCCAATGACCCACTCAGTCTGGCCACCTCCACTCAAGGAAGGGGCACGACACCAGACCCAGCAGCACAAGCTAGTCAGGTCTAACTCACACCCACCCACACCAACTCATGTATTTATCTAACCTCTTTTTAAAACTACACAACGTTTTAGCCTCAATAACTGTACTCGGAAGTTTGTTCCACTCATCTACAACTCTATTACCAAACCAGTGCTTTCCTACATCATTCCTGAATCTGAATTTTTCCAACTTGAAACCATTGCTGCGAGTCCTGTCTTGGCTGGAAATTTTCAGCATGCTATTTACATCCCCTATATTTATTCCTGTTTTCCATTTATACACCTCGATCATATCCCCCCTAATTCTACGCCTTCTGAGGAAGTGCAGATTCAGGGCCCTCAGTCTATCCTCATAGGGAAGATTTCTGATACATGGGATCATCTTTGTCATCCTCCTCTGTACGTTTTCCAGAGCATTTATATCCATTCTGTAATACGGTGACCAGAACTGAGCAGCATAGTCTAAATGAGGCCTAACCAAGGATATATAGAGTTGAAGAACAACCTGAGGACTTCTATTATTTATACTTCTAGATATGAAGCCAAGAATTCTGTTACCTTAATTGCTAACACAAATGCACTGTTGTCTTGGTTTTAGATTACTGCTAACCAGAACTCCTAAATCCTTTTCACAATCAGTAGTATTAAGATCTACATTATTTAGTTTATATGTGGCATGGTTATTTACCTGTCCAACATTTAGAACTTCGCATTTGTCAATATTAAACTGCATCTGCCACTTTTCCGACCATTGCATCAGTCTATTCAAATCAACTTGGAGTGCTCTAGTGTCCTCATTAGAATTAATTGGATGGCCTATTTTGGTGTCATCAGCAAATTTGCTTATGTCGCTATTTATTCCCTTATCTATGTCGTTTATGTAAATTGTGAACAACAACGGGCCCAACACTGGCCCCTGAGGAACACCGCTTGTGACGTGCCCCCATTCTAATTTCTCCCCATTTATGCAAATTCTCTGCTGCCTATTTGTCAACCATGCCTCTACCCAGGAAAAAATTTCTCCTCCTATTCCGTGTGTTTTAAGTTTCCTCAATAGCCTCTGGTGTGGAACTTTATCAAAAGCCTTACTGAAGCCCATATACGTACACAATATCATATTCATTATCATGATCTACCTCCTCAAACACCTTAGTGAAAAAAGTTAGTAAATTCATAAGACAGGAAAGCCCTTTCATGAAACCGTGTAGAGATTCATTAATCAATCTGTGCCTATCAATATGGCTACGAATTGCTTCGGCAATTATTGATTCCATAAATTTTCCCACTATGGAGGTAAGGCTTATTGGTCTATAGTTCGAAGCCAAGGACCTGTCACTTGCCTTGTAAATAGGTATTACATTTGCCATTTTCCACTTTTCAGGCACTATGCCAGTTTGTAGTGATATGTTAAAAAGATTAGCCAAAGGTATGCTAAGTTCCTCTTTATATTCCTTTAACACCCTTGCAAACAGTTCATCAGGACCTGGGGATTTGTTAGGTTTTAGTTTCTGTATTTGTCTGAGGACCATGTCACTAGTTACCACAATCGTGCATAGTTTATCATCACCCTGTTCTACATAATCTATTATTTCAGGAATATTGCTAGTACATGTATTTTCCTGGGTGATAACCGAGAGGAAGTAGGTACTGAGAATTTCACACATACCCTTATCACTGTCAGTGATCTGACCAGAGTTACTCTTAAGTGGGCCAATCTTGTCCCTAATCTTATTTCTGTATACCTGAAAGAACCATTTTGGGTTAGTCTTTGAATCCCTTGCGACCTTAGCCTCATAATCCCTTTTTGCTTTTCTTATTCCTTTCTTTATTTCTCTCTCTAATTGAATATACTGATTTCTTAACTGCCCATCCCCTCTTTTGATACGCCTATATATGCCTCTCTTTTGACCAATGAGATGTTTTAATCTATTGTTCATCCATCTGGGATCATTTTTGTTAGATCTAATTTCCCTACATGGAACAAAAGTTGTCTGGGCAGCTAGAACTATGCTCTGAAAAACATCATATTGGCAACCAAGATCACCTACCTGACCCATAGTCAGGACATCCCAATTTAGCCCACCCGGGTAATTTTTCAGTCCCATGAGGTCAGCCAAGCAAAATTCTGGGACAGAGATTTGATTGCAGTTATCTGGGTAATTCCATGATATATTGAAACTAAGTGATTTGTGATCACTTTCCCCAAGCTCATCATTAACCTCAAGATTATTAATTAGTGAATCTTTGTTGGCAAGAACCGAGTCAAGCAGATTGTTTCCTCTAGTTGGTTCTGTCACAACCTGTTCTAAAAAGCAATCCTGAACCGTATCAAGAAAGTCACTAGACTCAAGATTTCCTGTCATATTATTCCAATCAATTTGTCTAAAGTTAAAAACTCCCATTATCACAACATTTTCATATCTAGATGCTGTATGAATTTCGTCCCATAACAGCTTACTGCACTCCCTATCAAGGTTTGGGGGCCTATAAATCACACCCAAAATTAATTTGTCACGTCCCTCGAGAAACTGTAGCCAAACAGATTCTGTGTTCGATGTTTCTAATCTTATATCATGTCTAAGACAATTTAAATTTTCTCTGACATACATCGCCAATCCACCACCCTTCCTCATGACCCTATCTATATACTCTCCCAAAATTCCTCCACCAACCTTTTTCAACTTTTCATAATCTCCAAAAAGAACAGTGACATCAGCAAATACCAACTATCATCTTTGTATAAGTCATCATCAGGGGTTGCACAAGAAGTTTTGTCTTATATAGGAGAGACAAAATTGTTGAAAGCAAGGGCTAGAGATATGCCTTGAAGCAATGGTATTTTTATGGTGGCTTCGAGGAGTGATGGAAGTTTCTGAGGCTTGGAACTTCCTTGTTGCTGCCTCTGGTTATCTTTTCATCTCACATCTCACTCCAACACCCTAGCATACATTTAATTCTTTCTTCTTTCAACAAACCAGCCACATCCCACCGAGGCAGGGGGGCCCAAAAGGAAAACCAAAAGTTTCTCCTTTTAAATTTAGTAATATATATAGGAGAAGAGGTTACTAGCCCTTGTTCCCAGCATTTTAGTCACCTCTTACAACACGAATGGTTTATGGATGAAGAATTCTGTTTCACTTCCCCATGAAGATAAGAAATAAACAAGAACTAGCAAGAAAATAGAAGAAAACCCAGAGGGGTGTGTATATATATGCTTGTACATGCATGTGTAGTGTGACCCAAGTGTAAGTAGAAGTAGCAAGACGTACTTAACTTTTTTTTTTTTTTTTTCAACAAACCGGCCATATCCCACCAAGGCAGAGTGGCCCAAAAAACAAAAGTTTCTCTTTTTAAATTTAGTAATTTATACAACAGAAGGGTTTACTAGCCCCTTGCCCCCGGCATTTTAGTCGCCTC